TTTCTGCACAAACAGCAGCCGTGTTACAGCAGGTTAGAAATGATTAATGGGCTTTACCTATGCAAGCCCTGCTGGGTAACACCGAACTTGACATAATCTGGGACTAGGGTGATGCTCCCGGGGCATGGGTTTGTCTGCAATTTGGTGTTCTGCTGACAGTCTGACCCCTTTAGGTAAAGTTACCCAGGGGGTTGGAGGGGAGGCGCTGTAGCTAATGCAAGTGAGCCCGGAATGTGCAGGATGCAAGGCAGACGCTAAGATTCGGAAGGATTCACACAGAGAAGCTGCAATTATAAAAGCCATTTACAAACTGAAAGTAGTATCTGTCTTGGAAAACGCTTGGGATTTCAACAGACCATTAGGGCAGGCAATTTTCAGTCAACCTCCAGATTAGGCCTTTGGATTAGAGAAATACTCCAACCCTCTTCTGAAATGACATGAGGAATCCAGAGAAGGAACTAAAACTATCCACCGGGAGGAGGAGGAGTTGAACAGTGAAAGTTTCTCTCCGATGGAATACTTCCGCGAGTAGGGACGATTAACATCCAGAAAACAAATTTCGTATTGTGTTTCTGACTGCTGGTCTATAAAAAAAGATATTGATTCTTGGAAATTTATGTTGCTCCTAATCACCTTGCCAAATCATCATATTAATTCTAATAGATTTCACTTAATTTTCTCCGAAGGACCGCCCACAACCACATCGATACAGTTTTCTCCACAACCTGAGGCAGGCAGTAGACGCCGTGTCTCCCTGCTGCCTGCTGGTTTGCAGAGCTCACGTGACTTCACTCACGTTCCCTCCTCCCTTCCCCTCACGTCATGCCACTGCCACCCCCACAGAGTGACCCCCTCGCCGCTCCCTGCAGGTCAACGAGCTCTTTCCAGTCTTCCATGCAAACTGCTTTCCAAGTTAAGGAGACTGAGGCACAGAGTGGTCGTATAGCCCAGCAAAGGTCACACAGCTGCTTAACCTCAAGCCAGGGTTCAAACCCAGGAAACCGGATGCCAGAGGCTTTGCTCTTGAACACTATCCTATTTCTTGTGTTTCCATGTACTGTTCTACCTGTCCTTGTGCACAGTCACAAAGTGGCCCGACCCCTTGCCCCACAGGCTGGGCAGGGATGAGAACGTGTGTGAGTGGTGCAGTGCACCGCCCTGGGTGGGTCCCTGGGTCCTCCGGAAGGCTGGTGGCAGCAGCCCCCTTGCGTGATTCCGGGGTTCCCATGGAAGCACTTGCTTCCCCTCTTGGCTTAGTTTGCAGCATTACCGAAGGAAGACGAGACCAGTTCCTTGCCACCTCCTGTGCTCACACTTTCTTCGATCCTTTCTTGACTCAACGGACCCTTTTTGCTGAAAGGAAAAGGAGTAGCACTCGTGGAAAGTGGGAGTCCACAGTCAGTTGTGACAACTGCGAGGGAGTGGAAGGCTTGCAAAACCTCTAACCTTGCTTAGAAGGACGGGATTTGTATCTCCACGCACCCTGGGAGAGAGGTATACAGTCTGTCCTGGGCCGAATAGTGTCCTCCCAAATTCACATCCTTTCTGGAACCTCCGAATGTGGCCTTATTTGGAAATAGGGTCATTGAGATGTAATTAGTTGAGATGAGGTCACACTGGACTAGGGTGGGCCCTTAACCCAACCTTTACAAGGACTTCTGTGCTTTTCAGAAGGGAAGAGACACAGAGAGAGACACCCAGGGGAAAAGGTCACGTGCAGGTGGAGGAAGCGACTGGAGTGGTGCATCCATGAGTCAAGGTAGGGGCGAGAAGAGAGGCATGGAATGGATTCTTCCCTAGACACTTGGAGAGCGTGGCCCTACTGGCCTTGAGTTCTGGCCTCCAGAACTGTGAGACAACTCATTTGTTTTTTAAGTCTCCCAGTTTGGGCAGCCCTGAGAAACTAATACACAGCCTTCACAACTGGATTCTGATTTTCTTGGTCATCAGGCTGCCAGGTCGTGTATTTCTAGATACGGATAGACAACTCTGAGAATAACTTTTGCCTCTTGGCAGATGCGACCAGGGAGGTCCATAAGAAGGACAGATACAGGGGCAATTTCTAGTATGTGCCTGCCCCTAAAATGGGCTTCTTACAAGTGAATTGGGTTAAAAAAAACCCAAGAAACCTTGAACGAAGCAGTATGAGTGAAGAGAAAATTTATTCAGCAAGCATTTGTAGATTTCAAAATGGTAAGGCCATCTGACAGGCTGAGCACATGCAAGGTGCATCTGTGAGGGCAGAGAAGTCTTGACTTTTCTTAGGATGCTTTGTCCCCTAGGGCTGCTCTCAGACAACCACAGAGCCATCGGTGTTTGCAGATATGTGGGTCCTCCCTCCCCACCCCCGGAGATTTGGAAAGCTGTGCTTATAAAAATGAATGCTTGGAAGAAAAAGGGACCTTGAATTCGAAGAAATGAAAGTTGAGGGGTAAGGAAAGTTTTATATATATTTTTTGAAGGCCTGCTATTTGGGAAACGGATTAGACATTCAGTGTGCTTTAGATTAGACAGGTAAGTTGGATAGAATATTAGGCATAGACTTCAATTCAGTGTAGGACGTGCCTTTCCTTTCAGAAGTAGAATGGGTTACTTCGTGAAATAGTGAAGCTACTAACTTAGGACAGAACTGAATAAGCGAGTATTGGTCATGCAGATTGGGTTAGCATATCAATTCAACACAAATACCTATTAAGCACCTAATTCTTCTAAGTGTGCTATACCCAGTCTGCACAGGAGAAAGGAAACTCAATGTGAACATTTTGACCTTGTAGAACTTATGGCGGAATAGGGTAGTTGAGTAAATTGGAGACAGGTGCAGACCAAAGGGCCCCTATATGCATCTTCCAGCTTTGTTATGATCCTAGGATTCTCATTAGAGCAACTAGTAAAATCTGAGCAGAGGAAGAACCCAGAAGAGATTAGATATGCACACGATTGTTCTAAATCTAACTTGCAGGAATGGGGGGCGGGACAGTAGTTGTAATCTGTTCCTTAATAAGTTTAGGACATTCAATTGGCTTCAAATCTAATAAAACTAATGATTTCAAAGAAATTTTGAAGTAAATTTCTAAAATATAAATCACACTCAAAATTGGACAGAATCCCACAGGGAATAAACCTCGATTCCAAAATTAAATTTAAAGCTCTGTGAAATAACCTTTATGTAAGTCAATTATGAAACAAAAAACAAAGACTTTTTTGGTACACAATCAGCCCCCAAAAGTTCATCAACATTAAAAAAATCTTTTTAACGTTTGTTTATGTTTGAGGGAAAGGGAGAGAGACAGCACAAACGGGGGAGGGGCAGAGAGAGAGGGAGACGCAGAATCTGAAGCAGGCTCCAGGCTCTGAGCTGTCAGCACAGAGCCCCACACGGGGCTCGAACTCACAAACTGAGATCATGACCTGAGCTGCAGTTGGACGCTTAACTAACTGAACCATCCAGGCACCCCTCAACATGTTAAAGAACCATTGAGAATAGGTTCCACTGGGCTCACAGAAACTCTGGGAGAATTTGAATCAGGTTAATTGAGAACACCTAGGTTTCCATCAGAAGTTGTTCTAAGTGACTACCAGCAGAAATCAACTGTTTCTGGCTTTTTCAAACGACTTAAACTTCAGGGTCAAAGAGTTGGTACAAATACTCTGAAATGTTGCAAATTTACTGCATTCTCATCACCTATAGGTTTTAATGTGTCTGAATTTGAACTGCAATTTTTAAATCCCTCTTTTCATAGACTTTAATTAGTCTGTAGTGGCATACAGTCTATAACTATCCTAGGAAAAACCTACACGCGAGGGGCCATGTTTGATTTCCACATCCACATAAACACGTCATTTCATTACTCTATCTACTTTCACATGTTCCATGACATATACTCATGGTGCTATTTGAATTGCTGATGCCTGGAGTCTCTGAACTGTTTCAGGACTATTGGTGCCGTTGGAAACAAAGGAACCAAAATTAGGATTGCCTCCAGAAAGCAGAGTGATTGGATAGCTGTAATCTGCTGGCAGAGCCCCATATTTTAGCTATAAATGTTTTAATGCCATTTATTGTTTCATGCTTCTCAAATGCAATACACTGCACCATTAATTTTGTAGTTTCATCTCTGGAAGCTATAAATCGAACATTCCTATTGTCTTAATTTTCTGTAACCTTTAATAACATTTGCGAAAGAACACAGGGAGGAAGAAATTGCTATTATAGAAATTCTTCCTTCTCTTTCACCCAAAGCAGTGGCTGGAAAAACAGCATGGTTTAGATATCCAAAATCCATTGTTTCGAATTAAGGAAAACAAGCTCAAACTTAGACCCTACTTCAGATCCTCCAAGGAGGATACTGATGCAGGGGCCCCTTGTTTGTGGCACTCAAGCTTGTCTTTTCCAAATGTGATTTTCTCCAAAACATCCGTCACATATTCGAGCTTAAAGATTATGTCAGGAAGAGATGGATTTGAAAACCAGTTATTCTTGAATGAATCCCAGGGTCCTTAACTCACTTGGTCACCCACCTGGCATTTGGCAGGGGAAAGCTGAATCCTTTGAGGCAAAGGGATTGCCCCAGCTGGGGAACCACGAGTCTGTGTGTGTTCACAGCCAGGCTCATGGAAGGGCCAAGGGGAGGAGTTCCACAACCACGGTCACAAAACATTCAACCGTCTATTCATGGTGCGATACAGTAATTTTATAGTGCTGCAATGTTTATATAGAATATCATATAATAATATGTGTAATACTGTACCTCTATATAATGTTGTATGATAATCATGGCTATCTCATTCATATCATGGCTGTATGTGAAGCGCCTACGGACACATTATCTTGAATTGTCACGTCAACCCTACCGAAAAAGGTGCTATTATCTTTTACACAGATGACTTAGGAGAATCTAAAAGAAATTTAAATGCAGAGAAGTTCCGTGATTTGTGTCTTCTGACTCTAAGATGCTACTCTATTCCACATTGTAATTGGCATCTTTAGACTTCTGTTGTTTTCATAACTGTTGAAAGTTAGCCTCATTAAACCCTGTAAAAAATAACAGTCATAAAGAGATACACAAAGCCACGCTTTCTCTTAGGGCAGGAATAGTCTTGTGGGTCTTGCCGTAAGTTTTAGCACCTACAGAAGTGTCGACTGGGGCTGCCAGCCCCGTCTGCTCCTTCCTGTGGTCGCTTCCCTGTGGTCCCCTGGGAAGACTCCAAGCTGGGGTGCCTGACAGCCCGTGCTTGCTTCAATGTTTGTCCGGCCCTTATCCACTTAGCCCACTGCTCGTCTCCAACAAAGTCCATGTGACATTAAAATAGGCCAGAAATTACGAAAAAGGATGAGTTAGTAGAATTAAGCTAAAGCTTGCACTTTGAGGGGATGCTGACAGAGGACGGGGTCGTTATAGTTGAAGGACTATTCTCTGTTTCAATCTTTCCTTCTTTCTGTCATTTGTATCTGGTCTCATTCTAAAAAATATATATTTTGTGATGGGACTGTTTGTTTTGATCTGAGTTTAATAAGACATTGACTTATGTGAAAGTAGGAAAAAGTGGAAACAGAACTCTATGTGTGGAATTGTTTTAAATACACTGAAATTAAGGATGAATTTTTTTCTAATGTTACATGCTGTAAATTGCTACTATATTTTTTTATAAACACAACTGTTACTAAAGACATCTGCTGAAATAAAATAAGTATATATGGTTCTGTGAATATGAATATCCATAATTATAAAACGGGATTTACTAAACTATGTATTACAGTTAAATTATTTCTATCCTAAAAACACTATTGTAATTGGAAATCTTACGTATGCTCCTTCTGGTAGAACTGGATCTTTGGCAATATAGCCACTTTGAAGAATAGTTTTAAGTTTTATAGCCAGAATGCTCCAATTTTGTAATATGACCCTCTGGAAATACAGCTTACTGCATTCTGGCTTTGTACTGACAGGTTTCTAAGATAAGTAGAAAATGAGGCTAAAGCTAATATTTTTTCCCCCTCAAATTTCAGAGAGATATTAAGCAGAAAAATAGTTGAATGTGGAATCACTGGTGCATGCATTTAGGAATGTTCCAAAATAATTAACCTTGTTTGGGACCAATTAAGGCCATGGTATAAACTATAAATTCTCACATTGATAAAATCTAAATAGGGATATATTCCTAAAGCTAATTACTTCTTTTGTTAAGGATGTGAACATCTGTGAGTTAAAGAATTAAATAAAGAGTATGAGAAAGATGTAGAAACCAACTGCTTTTGTTTAATAATCTAGAGATTTATCTCTTTGTGGTGGCTTAACTTCTTCTTCTTTACAGGTTTCCTGGAGGATGAGGGAGATTCTCATTGTCTTTCTTATTGTGTTTTTTTTATTACATTTTTGAAGTTTATTTATTTATTTTGAGAGAGAGAGAGCTACAAGGGGGGGGGCAGTGAGGGAGAGAATCCCAAGCTCTGTCAGCACAGAGCGTGATGCGGGTTTGAACTCATGAACTGTGAGATCGTGACCTGAGCTGAAACCAAGAAGTGGATGCTTAACCGACTGAGCCACCCAGGTGCCTCCTTTTTCTTCTTTTATATGGTACATAATGATGCTTAGATTTGAGTTGTACATTCTGCTGTGGGACCCAAAGGCATTAACACAGTGTTGTAGTGCCTCCTGCTCCTACTCAAGTGAGGGAAGGCAGATGTGTTGGTGACCATCGTCCATGATGGTCAGGTACAGAAGCAGATGATTATATATGAGAGAAGTTACAGAGGGGCAACTTTTATGATGAAAACTCAGACATAGTAATAGTACTTTCCCCACAGGTTTCCATGAGGATTACCAGAAAACACTCGCTAATCACTCACTTCAAAAGTGTTACCTAAAACCGAGACTTTGGGGGTGGCTGTTCCTTGATTCTTCCAGTATTTAAGTAATTCTCTCTCTCTCTCTCTCTCTCTCTCTCTCTCTCTCATCTCTATTTCTATCATCTTTATCTCTATCATCTCCATGTCTCTCTCAAGTTAACTAGAGGCTAAATACGATGGATGAACTCAGCACCTCTTTTATGAACCATAATTGAACAATGTTTGCATGTGGAATCATTCTATAACTTCATGGATATTCGATGCCACTCTCCAGTAAAACTATGAATTCTGAATCAAAAATATTTAAACAAGCATTTTCCATAAAGTAGAAATGCTGTTATTAAAACTATTAGTTTGTTAGGTCATAAGGGATTCAATTACCAACACCTAGTTTTTAGTTTCCTGAAAGAGTAACCAACTTGTCTAAATGTCCACGGTAAGTCTACTGCCATTCAGAGGTTGTGGAATGGATATTAACTTACTCCATTCTTACACTTCCATAACTCCAGGTGATGTCCTTGTAACCAAATATGTCTAATATTGAGTATATCAGTAGGTCCTACTATTGAAATACAGCTTAAGACTTTCTGAGAATTCCATGATTTGCCTAAGTAACGAGACTTTTAGTAGCAATTTATGAACAATGTAAAAAATAGTGCTTCCAAACAAAGGAGTTGTATGTGGCAGGAACACTCAGTTTTGTTGCTTGATTTTTTTTCTTGTATGTACATAAGCAGATCATGTCACAAAATTTTCATGCAGTGTTCCGCTAAATTGCTAACTTATTTACATAGCTGTCAGGAATTAACTTCAAATGTTGACTTATGCTATGCATATAAGAAGTATGGAAATTCAAAGTTAGCAACATAAAAGAAAATTAGAGTCACATCCTTTCAAAGAGGCATAAAAGGAAAATCACACTCTCAATGAACAAATATACATCCACTGTCTGCCAACCGATCACCACAACTTGCTAGTGCCTTTGTTAGGGTAGAGCAGATTCACGTGAGCTCATCAGTGCTTTCCAAAGCTTATAGAATTATTAAAACAAATAAATGTATCAGTACACATGCATTTATAATCAGCACTCACCATCAACTAGATTATCTATTTTTCTATTTTTTTTAGAAATGAGAGAACATATATTAAAACTTCCCAAGCCACACGTATCATATTTTAACGACATTGCTTTAAAAATTCATCTTAAGCCAATTAATAAAAACTGCAATTTTAACAGAGTATCTAAAGGTAGAATTACTACCAAGAGAAAGGACAAACTCAAAACCTACTAATGTAGTCACAAGACTATTAAAAAAACTTTACAATTTAATTATTGGAAGATTATAGAACTGCTTCAGCGCTTCTGTACTGAGTAAGTAAGCTGTACGTGTGAGGTGTAATAAATGAAATTGTTAATTTTACTGTTTCCCTAGGGAGTAGTAGGGGAAGAGTGGGAGTTACACTATTTAGATCTCCAAATGGATCTTGGTTTATAAGCAATAATAAATCCTAAATGTGTTGCTAATTAACTCTCCTTCAAACCACTCCCTTTTTTTTAGGGCTTAAAAGACATTTGACTCCTGGGATCACTCACCATTCATATTCTTAAAGATGTTCAGGATGGGGAGGATTTGACGGTAATAGGGCACCAAAGCTTCACCCACCATCTCAGCTGACACAGCCAGATGTTGGAGGACTTTGAGGGTGACGCAAATGACCTGTCGATTTCGAAGATTCAAGGCATCTATACGGTAGGAAAGGGAACAAGCCGAAAATAAAAAGCATTAATTTCTACAACGTGAAGGTGAGTCGATTCATAGACCACGTCGTTGAAATGTACTCTGTTAGCTGGGTGAAACTTTATTATTAGAATTTTGAATGATGCACTGTAGCCTTTCATGTTATAAGCAAGATCTTGTTTGTGTGTTTTTTGTTCTTCCTGCTTTTGCTGATTCTTCACCAAGCCTAAGAAAGCCGCTCTTCGTCCTTCACAGAAGAGGCTGGTGAGGGACAGGTGGCATAAAAGATAAAAGATCAATTAGGGTCGCTGGGGTTAAAGGGCTCCCATGAAGGTTGACAGACACATTTCTATGCAACAACCCTTTCCAGTTAACAACCATGCGATTCTTAAAACCATTACCAGGAAACAAACATTTATTTGGGAAGGAAGGACTGGGTATGGTACGTGTGAGTAGAATCTATCGGCCAGTTAACAAACACTGACAACGTTCCTCACAGAAGTAAACATCAAGCGACTATATTTAGACTCTTAAGAAAGCAGGAAAGAAAAGCGAAAATTTTAAAGCTCAGAACTTTCGAAAGAACCAACACGAAATCAGAGACCAAACAAATACACGATGGTTTTTAGAACAATTCTGAATGCACACTCTGAAAGCTGTACTGCAGAGACAGGATGGGAAAGTTACCTGTTATCCCCTCACACGCGGGGTCTGGAAGGTACCATTTGTTCTAGTGGGGAAGGCCGAGGACCAGGGGCCAGGACACTAATAACTGGCTGTATAAAGTTGGCCAACTCCCCTACACTTTCGTTCCTTGGTCATAGGAGCCTATTATCTACTTTCTAAAATGACTAAAAGTTCCCAGATTTAAGTAGAAAGCCTGTGTAAGGCATCTATTCTAGAAAGTCAGAGGGGGTGACTGACAAACTGTGATGCTCCCAGACTATTCCAAGAGAAAGTCAAAGGCTCTTACGTGTCACATGTTCTATCTTGTAAGGAGAAGATTGGCCGCAATTAAACTCTGTGCCATTTATGGAGGGACAAAGGAACCAGGCTACCAAAATGGATGACGCCACGGTCAATACACCTGTGATGCAGACCTGACATTATTCTTGAATTCCAGCTCACATTTCCAAAAGCCTGGATCTTCTAGCACCTCAAATTAAGTTTGTTCCAAAGACAAGTGGTCTCCATACTTTATATTTTTGTTCTGTTCCCCATACTGATAATGATACAACCAGATTCCTAGCCTCCAGGGTCAAAGGCTGTTTCTCATTCCTCACACTCCTCATGTTGTAGAGCCATCTTGTTCTGTTTTTGCAATGGCTCTTGAATTTGTGTTCTCATCCCATCCTCACCTCCTCTCCTCTGGTCCTGGGTCTCCATCCTCACCTCTAATCCTCTGGTTCTTGACCTAGGAACTCCTCTATTGGAGCACTGTCATGGCTCTTTCCAGACACCCCTTCTTTTCATCTTTCTCAAATGCCCCGACCTGTCTTTTCACACTGCTGCTGGATTAACCTTCCTAGAGCATATTTGGTCATCTCACTATCTGGTCAAAGAGTCCAGAATCTCTCCCTACCCCTTTTCCTACAAAATAAAGTACAAACTAGCCAGGCACAAGGATCACACCTGGAGTAAGTTTGAACCAAACTGAATTATCAATTAAAAATCCAAGAATACAAGGTATCACTGCCGTTTCCTCTGGAATTACTAGGAAGTTTAAAAAAGTCAGATGTGGAAACTTTATTGCCTCCAGCAATATAATGGGTATCGGGGCAATAACACCGTAGGATGGCCCCTAACATCTGGTATGGTACAGACTACACTATGGTTTGGTTTAAAAGGACAGACGTTCCTCAAGTTATAATAGGGTTATGTCCCAATAAATCCAGTTGAAAATGTTGCAAGTCAAAAATGCATTTAATACACATACCCTACTGAACATCATAGCTTAGTAGGCTAGGTTAATCATGCTCAGAACACTTATATTAGCCTGCACTTGGGCAAAATCATCTAACACGAAGTCTATTTTATAATGAAGTGTTAGATTGAATATCTCATGTAATATATACCTTACTGAAAGTGAAAAACAGAATGGTTGTGTGGGTACAGAACTGCGAGTGTACTGGTTGTTTATCCTCACATGGCTGACGGAGAGCTGCGGCTCATTGCCACTGCCCAGAATCATAAGAGAATATTCTACCAGTAGCTCAGGAAGAGATCAAAATTCAAAATTCTGTTTCTACTGAAAGCTTATGGCTTTAATACCATCTTAAAGTCAAAAAGTCATAAATCAAACAATTTTTAGTTAAGGACTGTCTGTAAACACAACGTGATGAATGGAGAATGCTCAGCTTTAACTCAGGGAATGAATCTAAATATAACTATGGGATTTGATCGTATGATGGCTCATTACCACAGCATTTAGACACACTGCAGGCCATTCCATATTCTGAAAACAACTAGAAATAGAAGGATATAATTTACCCTAAAAGTTGTAGTAATAAGATATTCAAAGGCAAAGTGTCAGAGTACTATGGGAAGATAGAAAAGGAGAAGGGAAGGTACAGTATCTCACAGTCAGTAGTGGGGGGTTCTTTTTCTGGTTTTATGCAATCTAAAACTTGTTTTTTAGGTAAATGGGTACTGAACCCTGCCTACAGACCCAGTTCAGTTTAACAAAAGAGAACTAGGAACCTGCAGAAATGTTGAACATTCTTTCAAAAAGTCTGCCAATGAAGCTAAACATGTGTAGGTTCAGAACTTCATAGTGCTGTGTCATAGCTCATATAATAGTACCTAATATATACCAAATATTTGCATATTCCAGGAGTTAAGCAAAGCACTTTGCATATATTAGTTTACTTAATCCTCATTCATCAAATACTTATTGAGAATGTGGATGTGCCAGTCACTGATTTAGGAACTGGAGATAGAGAAGTGAGTAAGACAGATATGGCACTCATTCACTTGCATCTTATAATATAGTATGGAAGAAGATAGTGAACACATACTACAAGTTTGATGAATATTCATAAAAAGTTGGGTATTTAAACAGTGACTCAAAGTGGGCCTCCAGCCCAGTTGAGAGAAAGAAGACTGCGAGACCCAGGGACAGACTCTAGGGCTGAGTGGATGTTATTTAGGTGAAGAGTATTTATTCCAGAAGGGGAAAGAGCGTGCTAGAAAATGTCTCCTCTCCTCTTAGATAAAGGAGTCCTCCTTGTACAAGATAGACTCTAGCTCATAGGGATAAAGTTCTACTTAGCAATGTGGGAAAAAACTCCAGATATTTTAGAAACTGTCTTCTAAATAGTTTCATCATTGTGTACATATTTTCCTTAAGGTCATTTAGAAGTGGTAGGAAGAAGCATGTGGGTGTGTGTAGATATATATAAACGTAGCACTTTTTCTCAGGCTAAAAGATTCACTAGGTCCCATCTTGCCATATCAACCAAATGGAATCAGATGTTTAAGATCCTGGGTTTCTGCCTTTTCTCTCTACTCATCCGTACCTCCCACCCCACTTTTTTTTTTTAATTTTTTTTTTTTTTTGTTTATTTATTTTGGGGACAGAGAGAGACAGAGCATGAATGGGGGAGGGGCAGAGAGAGAGGGAGACACAGAATCGGAAGCAGGCTTCAGGCTCTGAGCCATCAGCCCAGAGCCTGACTCGGGGCTCAAACTCACGGACCGAGAGATTGTGACCTGAGCCGAAGTCGGACGCTTAACTGACTGAGCCACCCAGGCGCCCCTCCCACCCCACTTCTTAAGACAAACTCATAGCCACATCCGAATAAATGTTTTATAAACTGTTTAGTGAAGAAGGATTGGACGTCAAAACAGAACCACATGGGTGTGTTGTGTTTTTCAAATACAAAATAAATGTATAAATGAGTGCATACAACTCTCATTCCATTTTGGAGATTTTGTTCTTCACCAAGAAAGCCTTTCTGTTGACACGATGAAGTCACAAGTAAGAGAATCTATTAAAGATGTTAGAAGAGAGAGCTATCTGTGCATGGGTACAGCCCATGCTGTACAGCCCATGGACACCAGCCCATCTGGTGACTGCAGAAAAGATTTTTGTAGCCATAGTGGTTACTGAATATTGGCTTATCACAGTGGTCTTCTTTTAGAATGTGTATGTCAAAGCTTTCAATAACACAGCCGGGGATATGCTCATTTACTATCAATGTTAGAGTTTGCCATATAGAATATATTGACTAAAGAGTAAAGTTTTTATATATATATGAGTAACAATTAAGTTGATGCCTGTATGTATAGATAACTGATCACTTGGAAATAAACTAATAGTGTCTTTCACCATGGATAGTAATAATAGCTATCAGGAAATAATTATTTCATTTTACTGCAACCTTGATTGAATTAACATGGTTGTGATACATGTTATTGGATGGACAATGACTGACAAGTAATATGTGTGAACCATTACTCTTAATGGCATCTAAAATGGAACTGAATGACCAGGGAATAGTTCTAAAACCTCTGTAGTCACTGTGAAATAAAGGCAGTGTATGCACTATAAAAGACCCTTAACTTCATCCAGGAGGGATCTTTTTATGCTGCCCCTTTCCACTTCAGTTCCTCTATTTTTCTTTCTCATTCTTGAGGAATTAAGATATACCATTAAGTTGGAAGTCTTTTTGTTCTTACTATCCCAATGGAATTAAATAAAAAAGACGGCTTTTTTTTAAACAAAGTTCTTTTTCTTTGAAAAAGTATGTTAACAGATATAAAGAATATGATTCTGTAGCTTGAAAGAGAAGGAATGTGTTTATTCTTGTGTTGATGGGCCTGAAAGCTATTGTCAAGACATAAGTGAGAACTTTGAACTCAAGATTTAAGATTTTGAAAAGGGTCTGACATGAGACATCTACTGACATTATAGATCAGCCAGTGGAACCTTTCTATTCAGAAAATTGGATTTCTATTGTACTGCTTACTGCCTTCAAGAATAATCAACAAGACAGAGCTCCCA